AGAGCCGGCTGGCGCGATGGGAAGGAGAGAAATCACCTGCGAACTCCGTCTTTCTGGAGTAGCCAAACTTGGGAGAGCGGAGAAAAGGATGAGAAGAACTGGACTGTAAATGAAACGAGCAAGAAAACCTGATTTTTTTTTTTTTTTTGTCCTGGGCAAACGTGAATAACAATTAACTTTTTTTTTTTTTTCCCTTCCTCCTCCTGTTTTGCTTGTGAAACTGGCTGTGTTCAGCCCGCAAGGTTGTATGTGAGAAGGAGAAATTCAGGCTAAAGAATTGTAAATGGTTACGTGCCTGAGGAAGATGTAGATAGATTTCAGGTTGTGATTTCAGGAAAGAAAGGCGGAGGGGAGAAGCCTGGAGAAGAGAAATTCCGTGTGCGGAGTTTGAACAGGCTCAGTCTGGGAAACAGTCACCTTTCTGCAGTTCCTCCTTTTTATGGGATTTAAACTCCAGGATCGCAGTTCAACACCTTGAAAATGGTGGTTTTCATCAACACAAAGCTTAAATCTCTCATGAAACTTTTCAAGAGAAAGAGTAAGTAGCTGTGCGTTGCTCGCTGTCCTTTCGGGAGGAGCAGAGCCCTGCAGGACGGTGCCATTCCCTTCGGCTTGGCTGCTGCTTTCCTGACACTTCTTTTTAAAGTTTCCCTCCCTTCTTCGTTGAATATTTTATGATGTGCGGAGGCAGCCTTACGAGGTGCCTTAGGACCTCTGCTTTGGGATCCTGTGTTGCTTTCAAAGTCCTTTGTGGCGGTGGTTTTGGAGGAGCCAAACTTCTCCATGTGACAGGAGCAGCTGGGTGTCAAGGCTGGGCGTCCCGGTGCCCATCGGGCACCTGGCTCTGCTGCTGTGGGGCACCTGTCCAGTCGTGGGCTTGTGTGGTTAGGGCTTGTGCTGAGCCGAGCTGTGGTTTTTAAAGATGCTCTAGTTTCAGAGCGGCTTTTAAGACCGCACTTCTTCGTTTAATTCATGAAGATAGGTAAGTTGCGCTGGAGAGAGTACTTGGCAAACGTGCAGCACTTCTGTCAACTAATTTTGGTGACCATTGCTCTGATGAGCAGTAAATTTTAATTTTGGTACGGTGGGACTGCAGCCAGACAGTGGGCTTGGAGGCTGGTGTTTTCCTCCTCCTCCTCCTCCTCCTCCTCCTCTTCCTCCCCCAGCCTTACTCCCCTCCCCACCCACCTGCTCAGCCAGGGGATGGTGAGGGGCTCACTTTAAGCAGGTCATTGACTGTACCTGTCACTTTTTCTGTAACATCGGGATGATAGATGCGGTAACCAGGTAGGTGGTGACTTGTCGGCTTGTCGTGATTTAGGTTTGACCTCTGGTTAGCAAGGACGGGAAAAGCAGGCACAGACTGAGCGTGTATCTGCCTTATAGCAGCCAATATGTCTGCAAGAGCAGAGGGGGTGCAGGACCGAGCCACCTCTGAGATGAAGAGGCCAATCGAAAGCCTCCAAAAACCTTTTTCGAGGTGTGATGCTAATCTAAAATAAAAGTGAAGAAAGGCATTAAGAGTCTTCCCCTCTCGCCCAAATTCTTTTCAGGACAAAACAAGCATTGAGCATTAGGCTGTAGATAGGTTTTGAAGGGAAAGACATAGCTTGTTTTCTTTAACAAGTACCGATTATTTCCATCCGAAATGATCCCGACAGATGCACAAGAATCGTTTTTTTCAGATGACAAGAGGCTGTTGCCTTTGTTTTGCTTCCCGGTTTCCACACCTCCTCTGCTACCATGGAGGCATCAGCCAAACTTGAAGAAACGATGCTGCAGAGGCAACGCAGGAGCCAGCCGAGTGTCCGGGCAGCGAGGAGAGAGCAAGGGAAGAACATGGTGCCAGTAGTTGAGACCAGGGCACCAGGGCTGCCCTAGCAGGGCAGGTGCTTGGGAGGCAGCGCGGCCGTAGTGGCTTTTTCTGCTTTGGAGAGCTAAAAGCAAGGATGTGCAGCCTGCTGGCCGAAGGCCAAAGGGTGCCTAGAGGATCATAAAATCTGACCCCCAACTGCCCTTTTCCTGTTATTACAGGGTGGAGGGATAAGGCCATTCAACTGTAGGAGTTTTTATTGATGATAAACTTTAAACAAAAGGTAATGGCTGTCTCTCGGGAAGCGTAAACTGTAAACAAATCTTAGCAATATGTGCTCTGGCTGATTCATTACTAGACAGTCTGTAGGGAACTTTGAACTTGAGCAGTGTCATATTTTATTTTCACATGTGTATTGGCTGAGAAGAGGTGGCCAGAGCAATCCCTCTTCAGTGCTCTGAGCGGTATTTGCCCAGGGAGTTGCCGTTGTCCAAATCTGCTTTCCACTCACGGCAATAGAAAGTAGCTGATTTGTTGGCTTCGCTGGAGTTTTGATTCACCTGATTTGAGCAAGCCTGAGGTCAGAGAAGGTTATTTCCTGATACAAATGAACCTGTCGTAATCTCTCATGGCGACTGTCATGTTCCCAAGGTCACCCTTGAGCAGCAGGAAGCTATCCTGCAACACATCGCGCCTGGCAGCATCAGGAGACTGGGAAACTGGTCTCTTTTGTGAAGACTGGGAGCTAGAGAGATGAAAACAGAGTGGCAAGTTGGGAGTAAATAAATAGCAAGTATCAACATGGGAAGAGGGGAAAGGTGTTTCCTACAGAACACAGGAGAATAAATTTAGACTAGAAATGGGAGGAAGGTTTTTAACTGTCATGGAAGTGAGGTTCTAGAGAGCATTTTGATGAGACTATGGTGGCAAGCAATCTTTTTTGTTTTAAGGTAACGTGCGACAAACTTACGTGTGGGGTTTCATGATACAGCTACCTACAATAGCATTTAATTTTCTTACTATTATCTGTCTCTGCAGCTGTTTCCAACCTAGATGAAGAGAGTAGATGGACCGTGCACTACACTGCTCCGTGGCACCAGCAGGAAAATGTGTTCCTGCCCTCCTCAAGACCACCTTGTGTGGAGGACCTGCACCGACAAGCCAAGCTGAACCTCAAGTCGGTGCTGAGAGGTGAGATGATGATGCTGACACTGATGTGTCCTAAAGGGACAGTTGTTTTTGCCACAGTCTTTTCAAACATATCCAAATTGCAGGCTTTGGAAGACTCTTACTTGTTTTTCTGCCTGTAACACATCAGGAACATCAGTGGGATTTACCCACTTGAATGTAGGGGTAAGGCAAAATGGTTTTGCTGTCAAGAGACGAGGAAGTCTGTGACCTGGCAGAGCACTCTAGAATGGAGAAGGGGAAAGCCTGGTGTCTTTTGGCCATTTCCATTTAGTCTTTGGGGGGTTTCCAAACTGGTACTTTCTCTTTCAGTAAGTCCTGAGTTACTCCTTTTAGTGCAAGAGCCACATCAGAGGTGTTGCATTTGGTGATTTCTTTTGTTGTTGTACCGTGTCGTTTCCAGGGATGTGGCTACTTGTGAGAAGTGGGAAAAGGCGCTGAGGGTAAAGAAGGGAAATCGGGAACAGGGCCCTCAAAAGGACTCTTCCAGTAGTGAAAGTGCTTTCTTGCAGAAGGGTGCAGAGTATTTTTAAGGACCAGTTTTACCCTTAGTACCTTCACTGGGGGTGTACTTGTATGGTCTGGCGTTGTGTTGTGTTAGTGCCGGCACGAGGGCAGAAGCAGGCAGCCAGCGCAGAGGACTGCGGAACATCTGACCCTGGGCCAGAAGCAAACTTGAAAATTACAGCTTAATGTCTGTGTTCTGGAAATGGTTAGCCTAGATTTTTCTTTACATTGGCTATTTAACAAAGAGGATTACCCTGCAAA